GCTAAAAGGACGAAACATTACTATGTTACAATTACAAAACAAAAACAAATTTCAAACATTTAAACGCAACGCTACTCAGACTCAAAGAGGCTGGTGTGATGGCTCCGTTTTGAACGACTCCCCCACCCCCAATTAAACGTATTAATATGTCCTAGCTAGGCTCAAGAAATGTTTTCAAAGACAAAAGGGTTGTTTCCTATTATTGGCTATAGGAATGATTTGATTGTATTGCCAACTTGTTTATTGTTGGTTTTTCTTATTTTAATTGGCTTTTTATCTGTCTTTTTTAAAATTTTTCTTATTGTATATGATTGTTAGCTCACAGGGTTGCCCTCTGGGATTGATGTGTATTTTTGTGTATATTAATAATTACGGTCCTATACTAAAAGAAAAATGACCGTCGTTATTTAAATTCGATTTAGCGCCCTCAGATGTACTGCCACCAAAACGTACTTAACGAGATGAGGTCAGTAGCAATACGCTGTTAGATCGTTTTACGCGGTTTAATCCGTAATTTAAACTTCCAAGATAATATCAACTTTTGCGTCACGTCCCTATATCCATGCATATCAATAAATTACTTTTCAAATAGCCTCGTGTTCAAATCAAATGGACTTTGGTAGCCTACTAATTCCATTTAAACCACCTTGGTTTTATTAGAATTAGTAATAAAAAAAATAATAAAAAGGTAGATAAAAATAACAGAAAATAGTTTAAATACAAATGTAAAATTAATAGAAAATAGGAGCAAAGGGTTACACTGGACACTGGATACTTGGGGACATTCACTGTGCACATACAAACAGTAATGCTATCATTTCCAGCAAATCACACCTGATGAAGATGGCACCGACTGCCAGAGAACAGCGAAAGCTCGTGTCAAGTAAATTATTTCTTGAAACATAGTCTCAGAGTGGTGCCTCATCATTATCCGTATTACTATTATTTTCCGCCAATGAAATTGATAACAAGTGTATGTACAGTCACGTATACGAGCTCGTACTAGAATAACTTAATATCTAGTGGGAAATGTTTCCTTGAATAACGTCAGTGAACTACTCAGGATACATGAAGACAAACACAGAGGCGTGACCAAAATACTAATCATTTATCTAACACACACAATAGCCTTGTATGGTAATCAAATTACTACTATTTGATAAATATTTTCATTCTCATTAGGCTGGTCTCTTCTTAAACAACGTAAAATTCCCGCATGATCTGAAATCGCAAGTTTCGATCGAAGTCGTTCTATACATGATTTAGAGATTATAAATTAAACCAATGTAAAACATCGTTTTGGTATAGCTGTTCATAGTGGAAACTACATTCACATTGCCACT